AAGTCTCCCGATATATACTTTTTTTTTTTTTTTTAAGAAAAAAAAAACAATGCCCAAGGCTGATATTACCAATAAGAAAATTGAGGCCGGGGTCCTCACAGTCTACCCGGAGTGACCGAACCGAACTTGCTGAGAACCGGGCTCAGCGCCCCATATGATGATAACGATGATGATGATGATGATGATGATGATGATGATGATGATGAACTCCTGCTGATTCTACGTGAAATGTGAGATAATCATACTAATGATGACGACGCTAACAATGATGATAATTAGTGTATATAAAAAATATAGAAGACTACGCTATATCAGCAATTCTGGCCTCCTAATTCTAGAACAACTCCTAGCCCTCCCTGTACCAGGACATTGCAACTCAGAGATAATACCAACCTAACCAACGTCAACCATAGTCGACCTCTTCTCACCACCTAGACTATCCCCGGCCCCATAGGTTGTCAAGGCAGCCCCCCCCAGTTTGCCACTGGATTGCCTTCCTCCCTCAGCAAACCCCAGATCTTTCTACAAGGCCTCACACTCCTGCCATTTGCAGGTTACAGGGCAACGCCCCAGCTCCGGCCACCATCGTTCTGGCATCGGCAAACCAGGGGCACAGAACAAAGCAACTCTGTAGATATCAGTCCAGGTTCGACCATCTCTCTGAAATCCTATATCCCGAATGAGGAAGAAGGCCAGATGCTGCCAAAAATTTCAAAACACCAGAAAGCTTAATATAACATGATTGAAAATTATGCGATTCTTTGTTTTTTTTTAGCAAACCTAGTCATCCCTTATACCAAACACACAACCCCAGAGACAATACTTTCCTAACCAATGCAAGTCACAGGTGATGTGATCTTGCCACCAAGACTATACCCGGCCCTTTAGGTTGTCAAGGCTGACCCCCTCCAGTTCCCCACTGGATTGCCTTCCTCCCTCGACTAATCCCTAGATCTCTCTACCAGACCTCACGCTCCTGCTACCAACAGGTCGCAGGGCTAATGCCCCAGCACCGGCCAGCGTCGTTCTAGCATCGACAAACCAAAAGCCCGAAACACATTGGCTTTGCAGACATCTGTCAGGATTCTACCATCTCTAAAACCATGTATTTCATATAAAGGGAAAACCAGATATCGCCTAAATTACAAAAAAACAGGTAAGCTTGATATAGCATAATTAGTATTTACACCTAAGGTTAGTCTCCTCCCTCCCCTCCTTTCCATCCTGTCCCAACGCTGCCTCTGCCGAAACGGATTACCCAGATTGCAGGCAACCCATCACCGCCCCAACTTGGGCCAGTCCCACCTTCCCCACCCTTATCCCACAAAGGCATACAGTTCCCTCCCAAAGTATGCCTCTGCCCACCTTTTACCCTAATCTGCCTCCGCTGGTGTGAGTACCCCCACCCCAACCACAGAATAAGGCAACCCACTAGTTCTGCTCGCACCCCCTCCAGGGCTTCACCTCCCTCCTTGTCCTGCAGAGCGAAGCTGTCCCCTGTTCACCCACCTTCCATCCATCAGAAATAAACATCGATACTCAGAGAGGAGAATATAGATACCAGAAACACAATTGGCATTTCAAACCAAAGAAAAATAAGCCGAAGACGAGGATTCTGCAATGGAATTGGATAAGAGTCAGGTTATGGAAGCAAATGCAGCGAAGATAAAACATGGAAAGTGATACAGATTGTAGACTCAGAGATTCTAAATTTAGGAATTTAGGTAGACTAAGATGAATGACTTTAGAATTTTAATTATTTAGATATTTAGGTATTTGAAAAATACCTCAAGGTCAAATTCAGTTCAAGAAAGATTAAGGAAATAAGGGACTATCCATGTTTCATAATATTAATAGAATATTATTAAGATGTTATTGAGTTGATGATAAGATTGATTTTCAGATTGATATGTAGGATGATGATCAAGATGATGACTAAATGATAATTAACAAAAAAATGAAAGCTACACTCCCCCTTCCCCCCTTCACTCCAGACAATCTCTAATCGCAACCCTCTCCTACTGCCTCACCCCCTCTCTCCCCCCTGCCCCCCCTCCTCCTTTTCCCGACTTCTCTCACACCCATCCCCCCTCCACTTCCTCTCGTCATCACAACTCTTCTCCCTTCTCACACACATGAAAAGGAGAGCGGCGCATCAAAAAAGTAAGTAGAGCCGAAAAATGAGTCAAGAGAGTCGGAAGGGAATGAGGACAGAGAACGGGAGAGAAAGAAAAAGGAGGACGGAGGGAAAGGAGGACGAGGGAGAGATAGAGAATGAAGGAGGGAGAAGAAATGTACCCTTCCATAGAAAACAGAAATAAAGGATTGGAAAAATCATGAAAATGCAAGCAGAGGAGAAAAAACTATAGCAAACGTGAGACATACTCCCCCCCCAACCTGGTTTTCCGGAAAAAAAACACTAAACGCTAATCCCTCCCCCTTCCCCCACAAACCTCCCTCCACTACTCTTCTGCTTGATTAGCATGCATTTGTGTGAGCTTGCTTGTACTGAGCAAACCTACGGACGGTGCGAACCGGCGATACTTCGATTACGATGGCGGACTGGGACTTTTCGACGGGAGCGGACGAGGACTTACCGCTCACGCCCGACACCGAAGAGGAGAGAGCAGCGGAAGCAGTGGTATATCTCCCTCGTACTTTTCTCTCTGTATGGACCTTGTTTTTTTGCATGCCTCCGCGGATTGGGTGCGTGTACGTTTGTGATGCAGGTGTTTTAACCCCTCTGACAAGCCGGTTTGTGGTAACGGGGTGCCAACGGCGAAAAAGCTTTTAGGGGAGCCACACCCCTCCTGCCAGCATCGGGAGCACCCCAGGAGAAGCGGGTCATGTGCATTTTGTCTCGACAGCCACCGTAACCGAGTATCTATGGAAGTCGAATCCACATGTAGCTCAGAGTAATAGAAGCGGAGGGACTACGCGAGAGAGGAGGAGAATGGGGCGCACGAGGTGTGGCAAGCACCGGGGGACGAGGATGGGAAGGAAATAGTAAGGGAGAGAATCCGAAAGGGGGAATGGAAGCAAGCGGAAAACAGTAATCGAGGGGAAGGGAGGGAACCATATCGAGCTCCGCAGATAACAACAGGATGGGGGGAGAGGAGCCGGGGAAGTTCGGTAGCTTTCCTTTGTCTGTGATAATCTGATTACAACATTTCTTGGTTTCTATGCTGTTTCCTTTTTTTTTTTTTTTTTTTTTTTTTTATGATTTGTCGGTATGGAGTCCGCTTTACCGTTTGATGAAATGATATGCTCCTGGTATAACTTGTTCCCGTCCCCAATGCATGTATATATGCCGTTTCCCCCTCTCCCTAACTATGGGGATGAAGGGTTTGTTTAAAGACTGCTCAGGACGCTGATGGGATCCTTTTTCCTTTTTCGGATGGGATCCTGACATCACCCGACAGTAACGTGGCTATTGGGCCATGTAACGAACCCCTGCAAACCCCTGCAATGGACAGCCGAACCGCATTCACCACCCCGGACCACCAGTCCGACTGCCACGAGGCAGCAAACCTGCCTACGTCCGCAGATCAAAGGATGGACTAGTTGTCTTGGGTGAGGAAGCGATATCGGGATGGGACTCCCCGTCCAATCGAAGCCATACCCCAACCAGGGGAACGGGCTGGAATGGGACGATGATGGAAAGCCCAACACCCGCTGATAGGTTGATCTGCCTTTATTTCTATTGTTATTGTAAAACATGGATGAATAGCATGAGGATGTCTAGGTGCTGCTCATAGTCCCTTCGCGCGTGACAGATGAGGGCGAATGCATGATGGTATGGTGGCAGTGAGCAACGTTTGAAGGATTGTGACCGGTCCGGGTGTACCACTGTGATGGTGGGGTACATGGCATGGTTTGCCGTGGGATCGTTTTTGGCACACACATATCGACTTCAAAGCGACCCATGGAATCATCTTAAAATGGCCCGCCAAGGTATGCTCTCCTGTCCATTTGCGGATGGCTTCCTCCTATCGTGGATTGCCTGACGGATTGTCTCTCACAGACACTGAGAGACGCGCGCGCGCACACACACACACACACACACACACACACACACACACACACACACACACACAC